GGCCCGGGGTGCCTCCGGGCAACCCCAGAACAGCCCCCGGGGCCTGGGGACACGGGTTCTGCCTCGCTGGCTTTAAATCACTCAGCGTGGAAAGAGAACACGCCCTGGGGGTGCCGGAGGCCGCGCTGGCCTCGGAGCTCCAGGCAGGGACACTTGTGCCTGTTGCCAGCGTGCGGCTGGGGTGCCTGAGGTCACCTCGCCATGGGAAGGGCCCCCTCTCAGAGCTCAGTGCTGCAGGGCCTGGCGAGTTTCTTCCACCATGGTCATTTCTGCTCCAAAGTTACCACTTACATGGCACAATGCAACGGTGACAGCCCGCTGGAGGTGACCGCCGTGCCGCTGCGGCGTCCCTCGACAGCAGCACAAAGCACTTGTGCCATGAAGTACCAAGCCCTGCGCAGCGCAGCCTGTCCACCGGGCCGTCCCCAAGCTGTCACTTGTGCTTGACAAAGCCACCCAGGCAGACACATCTGCGTGCAGGAACTTGATGATCTTAGAGGTCTTTTCCAACCTTAATGATAGCGGAGGGCTACGAGGATGGTGAGGGGACTGGAACATCTCTCCTACGAGGAAAGGCTGAGGGAGCTGGGCTTGTTCAGCCTGAAGAAGAGAAGGCTGAGGGGGGACCTTAGAAATGCCTGTAAATATCTGAAGGGTGGGTGTCAGGAGGATGCGGCCACACTCTTTTCAGTGGTGCCCAGCAACAGGACAAGGGGCAATGGGCACAAACTGAAGCAGAGGAAGTTCCGTCTGAACATGAGGAAGAACTTCTTCCCTCTGAGGGTGGCAGAGCACTGGCACAGGCTGCCCAGGGGGGGTGTGGGGGCTCCTCTGGAGATATTCAAGACCCACCTGGACGCGGTCCTGTGCAGCCTGCTGTGGGTGACCCTGCTTCGGCAAGGGGGTTGGACAAGATGACCCACAGAGGTCCCTTCCAACCGCGACCATGCTGTGATTATGTGATTAATAAGATGGCCAGGATCACATAGCTCCTGGCACATTTCTCGACACACGTGCAGTGTTTGGGGGTTTGTTCCTCTTCAGAATAGAGATGGCCGGCAATTGTTTGTTTGCTACTGTTCATAGTGAAAGAGGTGCCACTAGATGGCCGGGTTTAGCAAAATCGTAATGCCAGCCACCCGTTTTTGCAGCGCCACAGTGTGACTTTGTCACAGAAGGTGCAAGAAGTGCAGTTGTTCTAATTTTCTTTTCTTTTTGTTTAAATCACAATTGTGTTTGTGCGACTGGGAACTCAAGAAACAACCTGCAGCTGGTGTCTTTCCAACTCTTTTCTAAAGAAATCTGCTTGTGAATCAAAGTGCATTGCTCAATACCATTTTCAGGTCACTTTAATGTTGGAATTTATTTCTCAAAACCTCCTTCTCCCAAAATCTCTCCCGTTACCCTTAAAAGCTGATTTTTTTTTTTTCAAGAAGTAGAGGAGTTTTTTGTTCCTTTTTTGTTGCTACCATTTGGGGACAGCATGATCTACACCTCCAGAGATAAATTTTGCGGGAGTCTGAGCTGCCACTAGCCTCATTAATTTTAATTATTTTTTCCCAGTTCATTTTTTTTCCTCTGTGTCCTTGGACATCGTGCTGCTACCCATGTTTTCAGAGGGCTTTGGTTGTTTGGCTTGTTGGATTGGGGTTTTGTGAGAAGGGTGCTTTGGAATTTTTTTTGCACAACAGAGACAGTGGCTCTTCTTGACAGTTTTCCGTCCATTTTCTTGATGTCAGAAAGCCAAGGGATAAATTAAATGCGTAAAAGAAATAGATGCTTCAGGGTAGGTGAAGATAAGGACAAACGTACCAGAAGAAGGGAAAAAAAGGAGGAAGTGAGGGCTGCGTCACCAAATGATAAGATGAAAAAGTAAGATTCTAAGAGTGGTTTTCAGGGTCAGATAGCGGGGTGAAAATCAGGCTGCTTCAGCCAGATGAATACGTACTGAAGGTTAGTCAGAGGGATAGAGAGGAGATGGAGATGAGGTTTGTGAACAATAATAAGGATTACTGGAAGAGCTGAAAGGAACAGGAATGTTGTGAGATGTCAGAGGGAAAGATGGGATGTGTGCTGGATGAACTTCCTGGGACCCATATGTAGCTACTCACCAACACAGAGGCAGATGCACAGCGAATGGAGGTGAACTAAAACCAGAGATGCTAACTTTGTCTTTGAGGTGGTTAAGAGTATCTGCTCTTTGATATCTTATTTTTCATTTAAATCATTGCTAAGCAAGAATGCAAAATATTCACATGAAGGCACTTAGTCTTCTCATTCATCTGTCAATACAGTGATACATTTTTGATTGCTATACAAACAATAAATATCAGACTTTAAGCTGTTTAACTGCATAGTCAGTAGTTCTATTAGACCTACTAAAACCACTGGGACTACCAAATGTCCAAGATATGATACTCAGTGGGAGAGACTTGATTCCAAACAGCTTGAGCTCCAATTGTCCTTACAAAGTACATATGGAGAATGAGGTTGTAGGTGATCGTAAAAAACAGTAAAGCAAAAAACTTCACATTAATAATGAAGGTTTTACATAGCTTTCATCTCACAAGTCTAAATAATTTTTCTGTGGGTTTGAACAAGAAAAAGTGGGACCAAGGTAGAGATATGTGCACAGCCTCCCTCTTTTAGGTTTGTCTTTTATATGATAATTACTGCAGAAATAATCCTGTGAAAACTTCTGGGACTTCTTTAATTTCCATGGCCTTAAGGTAGAGCTCCTGGGGTCCACCAGTGAACCTCCACGATTCAAGAATGTGTGCTGCTGCATTCGATTATACAAAACCCAGTCTGAAATCGGGATATGTAACTAATTCATGCATGCTATTGGGCAGAGATATATTTGCCTTACAAATTACATTGTGATTGCCTTAATGTTACCAGTTCTACTCCATGCATTTCAGGCTTCTTAAGTTGTCTCCTAATTAAGTGTCCCTTGTTGAATGGGGGCTGGCAGTGAAAACTATGCACAGAATGGATGCCGTTCTCTCTGTCAGGACTCATGCACAGGGTGTGAGCATTGCACAGTAGTCCTTTGCCTTGTACAGCCTCACAGCTGTGTGCGTACCATACACATCCCTAGTTCCGCGCCGTGTCCTCTGCCCCCACGACTGGAGCCTCAAGTGGCAGACAGCTCGTCAGAAAGAAGCTGCCCCTCTGCACCTGCACTTTGAGATCGCCAAGTGCGCAGGCAGATGCGGGACAGCCATGCCACATCGCAGGCTCTGTGTTCAAGAAGGCAATACAGGAAGGTAATTCCCTTGAGAAGACACTGGCCCCATCACTTGACCTGACATGACACTGCCTTTTTTCCATAAGACAGCTGAGAGATCTGTGTTCAGAATCAGTGGAGAATTAAGTCCTCTTTCAGCAAAGCACTCCTCTCCAACTAAGAAGCATGAGCAATCGCATCCTTATTCAGCAAAGCATGCTGTGCAACAAAACATGTCAGGTATTTCTAAAGCTGCGCTAAAGGGGGTGGAAACACCTCAAGGCATCCCTAAATACCAGTGGAATTCAATATGCCCTCACTTGCTTTGAGTGTTAGTGTGGATAACTTTGTTATTTAAAATCAAACAATTTTTTTTTTTTTGTAGTGGGAATGCATCTGAAGTCAAGATTCATTTCATCACAACCTCGCTCTGTAACCCTAACAGGAATCTTTGTATTTCATTTTGTATTTTCAGAAAGGTATTGCTGAAAGAGAAGCTATTTCTGGGACTTCAGAGTTCTGCTAAAATTAACATAAAAATAAAATCAATATGTGAATTTCAGGGTGTGAAATATTAGACACCTAGAACCCTATCAGCTTTATGCAAAACCAGATGGTTTTGACCAAGCGTTCAGATGTCTCCATTCTCAAATGCTTTCAGCTCAAAAGTTCAAACATTATCCAAAACTTCTCCTCCAAGTGAGCACGTGTGATCTAATCCAGTTCCACTGAACTTGCTGGACATGTGAATGTAGACTTTCAAAGGCAGTGGAGCAAACTACGAAGAGAGCGCTAATGATTGCCTGCAGTCTCATTTTGTTTTGACTAAGTGTCATCAAAGGAAAAACTTATCAAGTGGTCTGCTGTTTTTCCCCAAAAATATTTTGCTTAGCCTTAAGCATTTCTCTTTTTCTAAGGATCAAAAAATGTGGAACAAATGATTATTTTATTCACAAATTAAACTTAATTTCTGTGGTGCCAGTTTTGTTCCATTTCTTTCTGATTTCATCCTAGCCTCAATCATCTCTGTCTGTTCTAACGCAATCACCATGAGGCTCTGGTCCTTATGCTTCCTTTTGTGTCCTTTCTTTAAATACTTTTGCTGATGAGCCTTGACCCGCCTCCCTGAAATATGTTGCTATAACTGAGTTCACAGCTGGGGTAGATTTTCAATCTGCCATTGTTAAAGAGAATTTTCATTAAATTTAACTGTTTGGGTTTCAGGGGTGATTTCAGGAAATCTTATTTCAGGACAGCCGCCAAGAGAACAGTCCTCTGATCAGTGATTCTTCTCTCGTGTCTGGTAAGAGTGACACCAGCAGCCTCCATCAAGCCTCCCATTAGCCCTTGGAGAGGCAGAAATCTCCTCGCACTGGTGTCTGTTCTTAGTGTGCAGCTCAGCATGTGTCTGAGGAGACCT